CCACCCCCAGCTTTTCAAGGGAGCAACTTGCTTGTGGCATGGTATTCAGAGCAGAACAGGCAGGGCACAAGTGCCTGAAAGGGGAAAGGCAGGCACTGACACAAGTTCATATTACCAGTTCTAAAATATATCTCACCTTCAAGTCCTTTTCTTATTTTCTCCTCTTGCTCTACTTAATTACTACACATTGGATTTTACCAGCAGAAAGTTCTAATTCTAAACAGTCTCTTGGATACAAGCAGGGCTCCCTCTCAATCAAAACAGAGCGATTGCTGCCATCAAAATGACCTGTGGCATTTAAGCCAAAAAGCTTACTCTAGAATACATGCTTTGACCTTCCCATTTTCAGATTCAAGCATGTTTTCTCCATATGTCCTTTAAACCCCTTTCCTGGCTCAGACCTTCAGACTGGCCTTCTGTCCCTGTGACAAGGAAAAGGAGAACAAAATAGCCCAAGAGACAGATACAAAAAATAAAGGCTGAAACTGAGTTGCTAACATTTCCTTAAAGAGAATTCAAATTTATCTTTCTCTTCTCCAGGCACCCTGTCAACTACCTATGAGATCAGCTTCCTTGAGCTAAAAAGATGTTTATGTTTAATATTTTGATTATTTTAAAAAACTTTAATATTTTGATTATTTTAATTTTGACACAGTTTTATATGACATTATATAGTAATACATAACATTAACATAGTAATTAAAAAAGCTTATACTTACAAATTTCAACAACAACAAAATAGTTATAATTGTTACCAGTAAAGAGCTGCTAAGATAGGCTCTGCTGGATCTTTTTAATATAATTTTTATTTTTTTATATTAATCACAGGTTATTTACTTTGTATCCCAGCTGTAGGCCCCTCCTTCATTCCCTCCCAATCCCATCCTTCCTGCCTCATCTCCTCCTTGCCCCTTTCTAAGTCCAAGTCCACTGATAGGGGAGGTCCTCCTCCCCTTTCATCTGATCTTGGCTTATTACATATCTTCAGGACTGGCTGCAATGTCCTCCTATATGGACTATCAGGACTGCTCCTCCCTTGGGGGGTGGTCAAAGAGTCAGCCATCGAGTTCATGTCAGAAATAGTCCCGCTTCCCCTTATTAGGGTACCCACTTGTATACTGAGCTGCCCTGGGCTACATCCAAGCAGGGGTTCTAGGTATATCCATAAATGGTCCTTGGTTGGAGAAACAGTCTCATAGAAGACCTCTGTGCCCTGATATATTTGGTCCTTGTGGAGCTCCTGTCCTCTCCGGGTTGTACTAATTCCTCCTTCTTTCATATGAGTCCCTGCACTCTGCTGAAGGTTTGGTTATGAGTCTCAGCATCTGCTTTGATACACTGCTAGGTAGAGTCTTTCCAAGGCCCTCTGCAGTCTGCTGGGTCTTAATTCCCTAAGGTGATAACTGTTCCAAACATGCCTTCCCAGTAAATTTCATATAAAAAGGGTAGATTTATCTGTATTGCTGTTTAAATCTCATGGTATTAATAAATAAAAATGTCATGATAAAATAAAAACATTTGAAAAAAATAAGGATTTGTATATAAAGAGTGAGATAAATATATATTTGCCAAAAGAAAAATAAGTCAGAGGCTTTGTTGTAAGTTATTAAAGTCCAAGTAAGTTATTTAAGTATACATAGGATTCATGAGGTATATAAGGTATATGAAGAATAAAATTTAAAAGCAATATGTATGATGTTAAAGTTTATAAGGTTTATGATTAACAACTACAAACTGGCTATAATGTATATAGAATTATGATTTAAAAGTATATATTATTATACAATAGTTGAAAATTGATGTTACACTAGAGTGATGTAACTGATCTGGGTGATTTTCATGTGCTGCCTTGAACTGCTCTATAATTATACTGGTTTATCATCAATTATCACTATTTGTTTGTCATTGGTAGGCCAATGGGTGTCCCTTGCATTTTAATAGCCTGTAAAGCTTATGGCTTTGGGTATCCATGAGGAGAGATATACAGTGTTTAAAGTATTAATTCTTTATCACTTGATTGTTCCAGTTTCTAATAGCAGATTGTTCAATCAGATAGATATTTCCCAGTTTGAAATAAAGGTCCATTGCTCTGGTTTCAAAGTAGAATTCCCATTTGGGGTGCTGTGCTCCATGGCTGTAACATGTTCCATAGTTCCAAAGAACTCTGTGCCTCTGTGTGGACATCCTGGGTGTCTACCTGGTCTGGGTTAAGATGATATCCTAAGATCCCCTCATTGGCCCCATACTATTGTAATGTCTCTAGAAAAAAAAGAGACTCAACTAGACCTTTGGCTGTTAGCCACAGCCCTGAACCATGTGATCATCTATGTGACTTGGAATCATGGCTTATGTTAGCCCTCCACATATAATATTTACTGGACTCCCTCTATTCCAAAGAGTATGGGATATTTCAAAATTACTTATATCAGTTGTTTTTCTCTAATTGTATAAATTTCCCCTCCAAACTGGTCAAAGATACAATGTACAAGTTAGGGGATTTAATCCCCTTTACAACCTTCCAATTTCATTCTATATTATGACTAGAATATATATACTAATGATTGTTTTGACAATCCTAGATGGCATTTGTTGGTTTGAGGACATGGAATTCTTTTAGATATTCAGACATCAGTAAACTCAACCGGGCATAAGAAATAAAAAAGGGAGAACTGTTGTGACCTGTACTGATCAACTGAGACTTCCCTGAGGCCTTGATATGGAGAAGGAACATAACTTCTTCTCAAAACAAGGAACATGTTTGGCAGAGCTAGTAATACCCTGGGACCAGGCCTTGGAAGTTTTTCCTCAGAGGCCCTGATGTAAGGCAAAGGAATGTAGCTAATTCTTTAAAACCAGAAATATGCTTGGTAGACCTAGTAATGGCCTGGGGCCAGGGTCTTAGAGGAGCTATGGCTTCAGATCCTGTGAACATGTTTTCCCATGTTCATATGGGGCTATGATTATCAGAATTAAAGTCATTATATGCTCAGTCTGTAGTGCTATCATGAGATACCCTGTGTTTCCCCTGTGTAACTTTGTTTGATTAGATTCTTGCTCATTTTGTCCCATTGTATGATAGTATCTGCTGACTTTGTCCCATTTCTCCACTAGAAATAGTTTGTAAAATGCTCTACTTCTTCTAAACCTGTTTGGCATTAGACAAAGCTGTAGTGAGAATTTTGGTTTCTTTAAAAATCCAGTTATATAAACATGTTTTTGTTTTAATCCCAGGTGTGGGCTACAGTGCTGCTTCAGATTGTTCACAGAAGCAGACTATTTACCTCCTGAATGATCTGGCAGAGGAGTGATTCTGCCAGTTGAAGACAGTTTAATTCTGAAGGGGTATAAAAAGACCAGAGCCCCAAGAGAGGAAGTGCAGCTGTTCCTCTTGCTGGTTCCTGCTTGCTTGGTGCTCCTGCTGTTGCTGGTTTATCAAGTGGTCATGAGAAAGGAGACAAGAAGATATTGGAAGCCAGGCGTGATAGCACACACCTGTAATCCCAGCACCAAGGGAGGCAGAGGCAGGAGGATCCCCGTGAGGCCAGCCTGGTCTACAAATTGAGTCCAGGATATCCAAGGCTACAGAGAGAAACCCTGTCTCAATAAAACCCAAATAAATAATTTAAAAAAAAATGAATGAATGAATAATAAAAGAAAAAAAGAAAAGATATTGGAGATATCCTGACAAGACTAAGATTATACTTGACCTGAGGAACTCAACACCCCTAATCAGCAGAAAGTAGTCCTAAAAAATATCAATGCCCCTCTCCCCAATAATCTTTTGTCTCTTCTACCTAGTGTTGGAGTGTTGGAAGGGATTACGGTGGAATAAGGGCTGGAAGGGAAGTAGAAATATAAGAACCCAATAAGATAGATAGATAAAACAAATATGCCTACACAAAGCTTGTGCAAAATATACTGAGCCCACTTGTTCTATCTTTATTTCTGATATCCTGGACCTTTTTTCTCAGGACCCTGTCACTAAAGAATGACCCACTGATCCAGGTCATTTCCTTTTACCATACAAGGCCAGGGGATTGCATTCAGATTTCAGATGTGACAGTCAGAACCTGTACTTGCTGAGCCATCTTGATGTGCAAAACCAGAAAATTGTAAATCAGGTCTCAAATTAGTGTGTCTTGGGATATGAGAAATACATCTGTGAGGAAAAATGAAAGCAAGTAGCAATTCCATTTTGATCCACAGCACAAAGTGATTTTATGGCAAGCTTAAGTGTACATGGAAATTCAAAACACTACTGAGGATATGGCCATTTAATCACACAAAAGTGCTTAGAATAATCTCATCATGGAAGAACTAGAGGTTGAGCCCATCTCATTCTACTTGGGCACAGCCCTACTCAGAGAACAACCTGAACAAGTTGTAGTGAAACACATTCCTTCTTAGGACCTATGTGAAGAGAAACAACCAGCCTACATGATAGTTGGAAGAGACCAATGCAAATCCGAGGAAGGGGTGTGTGTTGGGACAAGTAGATGGCGAAAGCAAGGCAAGACCATGCTGCTTTAAAAGTAGAGTCATCTAGCAGCCTTGGTATTGCCAAAGCTTGAACTATCTGCAGGCTGGCCCCGGGGAAAAGCATAGACAGAAGAAACAGCCCCCTGTCCCACAACCTCCACTCCCAGCGCCTGCCTTGAGGAGTGGGAGAAGAAATAGCACCTGATGCTCAACTGGTGCTTGGTGGGCCAAATGTGTCATAACACAGGAGAGTATTCTGGAAATGACAATTTTGTACCCTTTTTAGAAACTCCCCTACACTGAGATATAGCTCCTTCCCAGACTGGCTATGGGCCCATTGTGACATCACATGACAAACAAAGAGGGTGATGACTTCAGCAGATGGTTGCCCCACTACTGACACGAGAACTCAGTGTCCAGTATTAGTGGGACCTGTCTAGTGGAAACACACATTGTTTGGATTGTCTTGTGGGATGTTTCCTCTTCTGCAATTCATAGTGAGCCTGGTGCTTATTCAGAGTATGGGTGAGCACTGTGCCACTAGGCTGAGCTTCCCTGCTGGGCAAGAGCCAGGAGAAGAGATCCAACCTAATTCTTCATCTGAGCCAAGGGTATATCCAAGAAGAGGTTCCGGGAGGCGAGGCAACAGTGGCAGGGCAGAGCATGCAGCCTCCCAAGGAAGACTCCAATCTGAATGGCAACCTACAGCAAATGAAGAGCGTGGCACCGACCTCCTGAATCTGCCCTTTCACAGGAAGCTGTGGATCATCGTGCATAACAAGGCCTTCAAGTCTGTGAACTGGAATGAAGAAGGAGACACCATCACTGTTCAGATAAACCTGTTTAAAAGAGAGGTCCTTCACCGCAGGGGCGCAAGGAAGATTTTTAAGACAAACACCTTGAAGAATTTTATTCGCCAGCTCAACTTCTACGGATTCAGAAACATTCGCCCAAAGGATTCTGCGCGCAGCTCTGGAGAAAACAAGAAAATGATGGTAAAGTACAAACTTGTTCTTTGTCTCCCATGTTTGGTGACGAGAACATCTTCCTTTCTGCATACCCCATGAATCATGTGCTTCAAGCTCTTCATTTAGCAGAGGGTGTTGTTTACTGAAGGGTAAAAGTAAAAGACGTTGACAGTGAACTCTGGACTGCCCCTTAGATGCCAGCAGTCAGGAATGGGGGCAGGCGGGCAGGCGGGCAGGTGGACAGGCGGGCAGGCAGGCAGGCAGGCGGGCAGGCAGGCAGGTGGGCAGGTGGGTAGGAAGGCAGTCGGATAGGAAGGTAGGCGGGTAGGAAGGCAGGCAGTTAGTGTCACATACATGTGTCACCACCTTTACCTTTGAGTCATTTCTCTGTACTGGGGTCCCACTGCCGCACATAGCACCTCTCATGAGCCACTTCAGTCATTTCCTCCATCACTTTAAAGACCAGTAGAATGTGGTGGGTCAGTGTAGCTGCATTTCAAATTGACTAACCTAGCCCATTTTGTTTTAGATCTATAGCAACGTCAACTTCCAGAGAGACAAGCCAGAGCTCCTGGAGAATATTGTGAGCAGCAAATCAACTGATGCAAGTGCGGGAAGGAAGGCACGATCTCCAATCACAAGTGCAGGGCCAAGCCCAAAGAAGATAAATGACAGACCTTCCCCTCAGTTACATAAGTCCAAGGGAGATGGCAAGAGGTCCCATCAGGGGGCTGCCACAGGGCCTTCTAGTACACGCAAAAAGAGCAACATCCCTGTAAGTGCCCCAGACAGCTGCCCACCTCAGGAGACAAGTCGTCAGGGTAGAAAGGTCACGTCTGATAATGATACAGTTTCTCCATCCGCTGCTGTGAACATGGAAGAGGCTGGGTATGCACGCAGGAGCTCCTTAGGGTACCTCATATATGGGTTTCTGAGGTCTGTGTACAACATTTGTTATTCCATCCTGAAAGTTGCCATTTTGGAGATTTTCCTAAGTGAGTACAATGAGGAGGAAATGGAGGCAGAGGAAGAAGAGGAAGGTGAGGAACAAGCCTCAGAGAACACATGCATTATCTGTGCCCTGTTAAAAACGAATATAGTTCGTGGACTCAGAGGAATTGAAGACTAAGAAAAAGTCACTGTTTTTCCGGAAATGAACCAATTTTAGTTCTTACTAAAAACAAATCTTGTGATGGTAAATAAACATCTTAAACTTGGCCCCGGAGTCTGTGTGCTGTTATCTAACACTCTGCACTATTCCAAAGGCCTCAGATCCACACACCTTTGGGTCAGCCTTGCCCTTTCATGGACAGCAGCAGCATTTTAATGCCCTCAGGAAACTGGGTACAGAGGGTGTGGCTACAGACCTGATGGTGTCACCTCACACTACTCAGGTATCTGGGAGCAGGAGATTCCATTCTCCTGGGTCTCCAACCCCAGCAGATGTTGCCAGGAAGTTTCTGAGCATCAGCTGAGGATCACTACCAAGCATCCTTAAGCCGTGAATGAACACACCTCAAACTAGCTGCCTGTCTGCTAAGGGATAGACATTGCTGTACCCTGGCCCCTGAGATGCAGGCTGGTCCTCTCAGCACTTGCCCATGGGAAAGGGCCTGACATATAAGGAGAACAGACATTAGAAACTTTGCAAAAGAAAAAGGAATCAGAGCTAGAGTTAAGATTTTTAAGGTGAAAAATGTTTGCCCTGTATATCCTTCATGAGCCAAGACACACCTTCCACACAGTAAAGCCCCTGTTAAAAGATACAGCACCCCATCTCCTGTTCATGTCCCTGTGCCTGTCCTTCCACCTCTACACCCTGCCTTTTTGTCTGACCTCCTTGTTGTCTCCTCTGGAAACTAGAAAGGATGCCTTGCCCTCCCTGGGACACTGAATACTATTGCTCCCTGTAGAAGTCTCCTGCATCTGCTATAACTCACAGTTATACCACTGGAAAGCCATGGCTCCGGGTCAGGGATGTAATTTCAGAAACCTGTCTAGACTGGTATGGTATACCTGGTCATCTCTTCCCAGAAACCCACCCATTCTGCATATCAGTGATCAGGAAGTAGTCTTTGACTGGGCATGTATACAGCTGAAATAGGGTTTGACGGAGTGGAGTGTCTTATTATCACCTGGGAACTGAATGTACAAGCAGATGGAGGTGCCTCTTTATGTGATCAGGCCCTAATGCCCCCTCAAGTGAGAGCTGTGCAGCAACCACCTACTGAACCTCAGTTCCTAAAAACACTAACATCTTTGTTTCCCTGATGGGCATGCCAGCTCCAGTTTGAAGAGGAAGCATATTTCATCATGCTTTCATTGTGTCCTGTCTGGAACCTGCCCCATGGGAAGTTGCTGGCTGTCAGAGTGACTAATGCACCTGTTCTGGTGTTCTGGTAAGAAGGGTCATGAGGAGCATAGTCAGACTCACAGGTGAGGACTCATCTGAAAGAGAAAATTGTCAGCTTCCCATAGGATGAATGCAGAGAGCAGTAAGGGAAACTGCCATGGACTGAAAATACTGGGCATTTTCTGTTAGTTTTTCCATGCTACTTTCAGATGAGGTGGATAATTTAGGAATTGAAAGTATCTGCTCAAATCCAGGCATGGTAGTGAATGCCTGTAATTCCAACAATTGAGAAGGATAGGCAGAAGGATCAGAAGGTCAAGGCTAGCCTGGTCCACATAGCCTTGTATGGATGACATCCTGTTGCAAAATCAAACAAACAAAAAATTAAAAAGCATACGCTACAGAACTCATAGAAGGTCAAGGCATGTCTTGTCTCAGAAACAGTGCCAGGAGCTGTTGCCTCACAAGCTATAACAGTTGCTTTTTGAAGAATATTATATAACAATTTGTGTTAGAGTCCCAGTTCCCAGGCATACCTTCTGCTTTCCTATCTGGGAACAAGGTGACAAGTAACAATTGAGGAGTTGTTAGGAGGAAGCATGAGTCATTTTATTATCATGATATGTTTGTCATATTCGGGCATTTGAACCCCTGGGACTGGGAATTAAACTCAGGTCCTGTGGAAGAGCAACCAGTGCTCTTAACCACTGAGCCATCTCTCCAGTGCCTAATCCAGGCATTTGAGAACAGTATACTTACATGTATTCACTGTCCCCTCAACAGCATATGTGGCAGCCTTATTTTCCCATGGAACAATGAGATGAAAGCCCTATGGATACTTGAGAGAGAAGGTCCCTACCAAATTGTATGGAAATGTATGTGCCTTAGGTGCTTCCATAATGTAGAAGAAAGCATGTCAGTCTTATAACTTTATGCACTCAAAGAATATTTTCTTGTGTTGAGGCTTCAAATCTCAGTTGGTGTTCCTCTGTTAACCTCACCTAATAGGCAATTACTTAAAGTTGGGCTTATTTAAGCATTTTAGATGAAAAAAGTAGTTTATTATAGTTATAAAGCAGCTAGAATATAAATATTATAATTGTCTCTTTCAGATTTCAATCCCTTCCTCTAAGATCACAATGGTTAATCTGATATTTATTACTTTAGACCTTATTTCTGCCATTTTCATATAACTTTTGCTATAAAAATATGTCATTTTAACATAGATTGATCATCTTTAACTTGCCTTCAACACTTAATAAAATGAATGCACCTCTTCCTATAATAGTATTTGTAGGTCTATCTCAGTTTTGTAACCATATTATGGAATTCTAAAGCATTCATGGTACTGTTTTCTTTTACTGTGTAGAGGTTTTATCTATCTATCTATCTATCTATCTATCTATCTATCTATCTATCTAT